CCTCACCCCCTCTGCGTACTCCTGCAGCAGGTAGACCTTGTCACAGTCCTCAAAGGCCGCATACAGACCAATGACATGAGGGTGGTCCAGCTGGGAGTGGATGAAGATCTCACGCGCCACCTGGGAGGGGTGCAATCCGTGTGTGTATGTGTGTGTGTGTGTGTGTGCGCGCGTGCACGCGTGTGTGCGCGCGGACGGTCCCGCACTGACGGGGTATTGCCCAACCTGCGGCACACACGCTGCTGCTGGGCCGCAACGCCGCGCGGCCTCCCGCGCTTCAACACCCACCCCACGCCGCGCGGCCCCGCCTGCATGCACCGCTGCCAAGATTCCGAGCCAGGCCAAACCCATCAGCCCATCCAACCACACTCCAGAGCCACACGCCCACACACACGCTCAGTCCCGCGCCTCGCCTGGCGCCTGTTGAGCGGCGAGAGCTTGCGCTTGCGGTACGTCTTTATGGCCAGGGGGGCGCTGGTCTTCTTGCAAAACGCATACCAAACGGTGGACGCGTTGCCGGTGCCAATCTCCTTAACCAACACAAAGTCTCGGATGTGCCTGTTGGGGGGAACACAGGGGGGGTGGGCGTCGAGCGCGGGTGTACGTGTGTATGGGGGGGGGTTTTGGGTGGGAGGGGTGCGGAAACGATGGGGGCCTGACGGCAGGGGCTGCAGCTGAGGGGTGCGCAAAGCCGGCCGGGCCCAGACAAAGGGGGCTGGCGGCGGCGCGACGAGAGCCCCGCAGACCAGGGCTCCGCCAAGCGCGCAGCTACGGCCGGCGCCGTCGCGGCGGCGCGGGGGCGCGCCGGGCGCCGCCTGTTGCGAGCCAGGGCGGGGGCGACTCACCAGTCGCGCCGCTGCCGCATGGTGAGGGGGCACCTGTCTGTGACAGCCAGAACGCGCGTGCCAGCCCTAGAGAGCGCAAGGGTCCAGCACGGGCCGACGGGGCGGGGCGGGGCGCGGCGGGGGTTGGCGTCAGTGGCGGGCGCGGGCCGGCGGGGTGCTCGCGCCGCAGCGGATTGCTAGGGGGCGGTGGGGGCGGCTGCGGATGGCCCCACGGGTGGCCTGGGAGGGGGCCTGCGATGAGGGCGGGGCGCCCGCCGCGCTGCGCCTGCCGTGCTGACGGCAAGAGGGTGGGGTGCGCCCCGCGCGGCGAGGGGTTCGGCCAGCCACGCCCTCGGGGCAACTCGGGGCCGCCGCAACGCGGGCGCCGCGCCTCCCCTTGCCGCCGCCGCGCTCGCCGGCGCCCGGGCCTCGCGCCCGGGCCTCGCGCCCGGGCCTCGCGCCCGGGCCTCGCGCCAGCTCGGCCCCTGGCGGGCGGCAGTGTAAGCCACGCACGTGCGCGGCGCGCCGCCCGGGCGCCTGGGGCCCTGGCGTCGGCTGCCCAGATCGTGAGGCACTGCGCCCGCCTGCCTGCCACACGGCTGCTCACCCCAGCGCGTCGCTGCAGTCGACCACCTCCGGCACCCATAGCCCCGTCGGAAAGACGCCGCCTGCGTCCGCGGGGCGGCGCGGGCCAGGGACCGGGTGACGCGTGCGCTCGCGCTGGGGGGTCGCCCGACTTCCTTGTCTGCCCCAGGCGCCGATCGCGTGCGCGGCCGCGGCGGTGGCCCCTGCGCGTGGCGCTGCTGCCGCAGGGCCCAGAGACCCATAATATATCGCATGTCCAATGAGGTATTGTAGCGCTGGCTTCAATAGGGCCACACCGCTGCCACGCGCAACGACGAGCCCGTCCCTATCGGCCGGCTGGCATCGCACCCGACAACAAGTCCATTGCTTCTCAGGGTGAGTCGCTGTATCCCTGCGGGCAGCCCCTCATTCCTGGGTCTCCTCCATCATTGATGGGGTGGGCCGCTCAAGACCTTGCTCATGATGTCAGCGACGGGTACCCTGAACTTGTACATTGAAGCCTTGAAGCATACACAGTCCCAACTACCAGATCTTCCGGATAAGTAAGCCGGTGACCCAGGTGCTGCGAACGCATATCTATTGCAGAGCACGCGATGAGTGCGTACGAATGATAAGCGACCTAAAATTGCCACGGATCGTCCCCATACAGGTGAGTCCGTGCCTGGTCATTGCCACGCCTTTCGGGTGGAGAACGACCCACTCGGTGTTGACCGTGGCGGGGAGCAACGCGTCAGCAGGACGCCGTGCAGGCCCTACAGTTATCTTCAACATTTATTAAGAAGCCTGGCCCTCCAGGAAGCGGCCATCTCTTGGCTGCAGCTGCGGTCCCCGCCACATCCAAATTGCTGCCTGGCGACACACAACCGCTCTTTGGCCTCCGCACCGCCACACTGCACCTTAGGCACCATCAAATTCTACTCCGCTGGACAGGTGCGTAACTGCACTTGACCTGGGCACCGAGCCATCGGCTCCGCGCAACATCGAAGCTGATGATGCTGCGCCCGCCCCCGCAGCTCCCGGACCCCCTCCCTCCGGGCGGCGCAGGCCAACGGCTTGGCCGACGACCAACGAGCCGACCACCCGTCTGCCCCTCTTATTGCCGTTCCAGGAAGCTCACTAGCCAGCAGCGCCGCGGCCGGCAGCCACCATGTCGTCCGACGGCCCGGCCGCCTCGGCGCCCGGCGCCCTGGCCAGGTGGGCCGGACGTATCGGCTCGCACTCCGCCAAGCAGAAGCAGCTGCAGCGCGCGGGCCCGGGGTCCCTGCAGGGCGCCAGCGCGGGCAGCACGGTCGGCAAGGAACGCTTCGGCCTCGACTCAGTCCTGAGGCGCAGCGCCAGCAGCAAGCCAGCCCTGCAGCCGCAGCCTCAGGCCACGGCCCAGGCGGAGCCGCCGCAGCCGCGGCCACGGCGCACGGCGGAGGGCCCGGGTCCAGGCGGGCCCGAGAGCCCTGCCAGCGCGCCGACATCGCCGGCGAGCAGCGTCAAGGGGGTGTCCCACTCGGCCGCACTTGACGCGGCGGAGCGCTTCGCCAGGGTGGCGTTGCAACCTCAAACCGCACAGGGCGGCCCTCGCCAGGTGTGAAATGGGGGCTGGCTTGCGACAGCATCCCCCGTGCGCCCCTTGCTCAATAAACCGGCCTTGCACGCATGCAAGCCCCTGAAAACTCCACAAGCCAGCGCACGCGTGAGTGCCTCCGCGCTTCGTCACCGCTAACCGCCTGACGTCCGCCGCTTCCGTGGCCGACACCGCTGACCTGTCATCTGCCGCGATCGCCCGCCCAGCCGCCGCCCTCCCCAGGCGTCGCCCCAGACAGCCCCATATTTAAGAGGCACCCCTCCCGGCGCAGCAGCGGGCTCTCCAGGGCCCCCAGCGGCGCCATGTCAACTCGCGCCTCGGACAGCGGCTCTGTCGCCACCGTGGCGTCCACCCCTGCATACAAACCCAGGCTCAGCCGCAGCTCGAGCGTGGCCGCACAGCCACCCCTCGACCGCGAAAGCGGCGGCGCGGGCGCGTCCTCCTGCCCCATCTTCAAGGTGGGCCGCCGCCACATTGGCAAGCAGCCAGCTCCTTGCCAATGATGGGCGTTTTGTGCCTGCATGACTGTGCGCCGATGCGCACCGGCGGCGCGGCTCGCGTGCGCGCTGGGCTGGAAACTGGCACCCAACTGCTTACATGTTACAAATTCGCACATCCTGGCGCACCTTCTGGCCCAACAAATCCTTGATTATGCAACGGCACACTCAGGAACAGCCGCCGATGGGCTGGCGGCAGCTCAGCCGGACCGCCAGCGCCAGCAGCGCCGCCAGCGTCAGCGCCGGCGCTGGCGTGGCGAGGATCCCGCAGAGTGCTGCGCCTGCTGCCAGCAGCTGGCGGGAGCCGCGGGCGCCGATCGAGGAGGAGGATGGCGCCTCCGCAGTGACGCAGGACCGCCAGAGCGCCCCTGCGAAAGCGCAGGATCGGGCAGGCCAGCCGCCGCCGCCGCAACAGCAGCAGCAGCCGCCGCGGCCGCCCTTGCCTCGCCAGGCGCCCCCCTCGCCAGGCGGCGCCGCCGCCCTGTGCCAGGCCCCGCCATCACCTTACACGCAGTCGCCGCACAGCCAGCTGGCGCACCGCCAGGCGCTGCCCGCGCCCGCACCCAGCCAGGAAGCATCAGCTTCTCAGCAGGCGCCGCAGCCGCTCTACCAGGGGCCCCACTCCCCGCACCAGGCGCGGGCCTCCTCCAGGGCCCTGCTATCGCCTGAGCCGCTGATCGCGCCACCACTGCAGACTAATTCACAGCCCCATTGGCACCCGCACGCGTCGCCTCAGCCCCAAAATGCCCGCTCTCAGCCGCGGGTGCGCCAGCAGCAGTACCAGACACCTTCCCCGTCCCCGTCGCCGCCGCAGCATCAACAGCGCTGGCGACAGCAGCCGCCTCCACCCGTCGCGCTGCCCGGCTTGCCGTCGCCAACACAGCCGGCGCAGGACTTCCGATCGCGCCAGCAGCAAGCGTCACCGATGCTTCTGCCATCCCCGCTGCCGGCACAGCAGCAGCAGCAGCAGCAGCAGCAGCAGCAGCAGCAGCAGCAGCAGCAGCAGCAGCAGCAGCAGCACCCGCAGCAGCACCCGCAGCAGCACCCGCAGCAGCACCCGCAGCAGCAGCACCCGCCGCGGCGCCAGTGCAGCGGTGCGCTTGGGCAACTTGCAGTGGGTCCAACCGCACTTGCCCCGGCAAGTGCCCAGCAGCAGCAGCAGCAGCAGCAGCAGCAACAGCAGCAACAGCAGCAGCAGCAGCAGCAGCAGCAGCAGCAACAGCAACAGCAGCAAAGCACTGCGGGGCCACCCCGCAGCAGATGGTGGCTGCGCATGCTGCTTGCCAGCGGTGTCGTCGTGGCGGCAACAGCTGTGTTGCAGCAGCCGAGAGTAAGGAGTCATGCCACCAAAGCCGCGGCAGTAGCCCGATACAGAGCAGCGATGGTGGCCGCTGCGGCACATCAGCAAGCGGCGGCTGCGAGTGCCGCCATGGCGGGCAGGGGGGCGGCGGCGACAGGCGCAGCGGGATGCGCGGTGGGGATGGCGCGCCGTGGGGCTGCCTCGGCAGCCAAGAGGGCGCGGCGCGGGGCCGCGGTCGCCGCTGGCGCGGCGCGACACAGGGCCGTTATCATGGCCGGCGCCGCCCGGCTTCATGGGGGTGCCGCAGCTCAGCGGGCAGGGCCACTGGCGCAGCGCGCGGGACGATTTGCTGCAAGGGCGGCGCGCGGCGCGTCCCGCGTTGTTGCGGGTGTATCGGATCGCGTGAAGGCTAGAGTCAGCAAAAAATCAACTTGAAGAACTGACAATCATGTGGGACGCTTGGCCTTCTCCTGCCATATTTGATGCTGCCGGTCCTTGGTCGGCCTTTTCGACGGTCATCGGCACGCGCGTCCCTCTGAGCCCCCTCCCGTTGGTGGTCTTGCCCGAGTCTTCAGAGCCGCGCACTGTTGTTATGACCATCCAGGGCAAACGTCGTGTGCCCCCATCCGGACATGAGCTAGTATATTCTCAGCCCAATTCAGAGCGCCCCGTGATTGTGCTGGCATGCTGCAGACGCCTTGCTCGAAGCCTGACAGCAAGGCAGGGGGTGAGGGATGGCGCTTTGTAACATCCACATGTCCCCCCCCCCGCCCCAAACATTCGCACACTGAACTTCAAGTTATACAGACACAGCTACACACATGTGCGCGCGTACGACCAATGCGCATCCAAATTTGGTGGAATTGTTCTTTGAGTCTCATGGCATCATTTCATGAAGCCAGCCACAGCATCGCGCAACTTTCCGGCCCACTTTTGGCACCGTGTTCACCCACTGTAGTGGGTGGTGATTCACCTTGGCACTGCGTTCACCCGCATCACTGGCTGGTGAGTGACCTTCATTGAAAGGGGATAAGGTACACATACATCCTGGGAAGCAGGGATGGGCGTGGATGCGGAGTGGGACCGCGAAACCTGGCGGCCTGAAGCATGAGTGCTTGCAATGACACAAAGCAGGGCCATTCCCCACAGACCCTTTCGTACCTCTCTAGCACTCCCTATAAAGCATGATATACTTATGCCGCGACCCTGGACCACCTCCTTCCACCGCATGCTTCTTGGTTGGCGGCAACAGCGCCTGCGCCCGTCTAGCGGTTGCTCATTCGTCAGCCGCCCCAGTCCGCCAAGCGCACCGCGTAACTGCTACAGGCGCCTTCGTCCCAAGTCCCTGTGGAAAATACGCTAATGCCAGAAGCCAAAGTTATACATCTATGGGACCTGGTGCAGCCTTCAGGTCTAGCAGGGGTTGCGCCGCAACTCAACTCGGTGGGCTTCCACGCCTCCCTGCATTGTGATGGTGTTTGCGATTGATCGCCCTCGATGATCTTACACATACCAGAGCTTCACTATATCTTCTCATGACACGGCTGGCGCGTGGATTAATTACAGTCATGAACATCATCGCCCAGTAGATCACCCTGCACAGCGAATCCGGCTGGGCTTGCAAGGCCTTGGCAAATTCATCAATCGCGTCATCATCGACGGGGTCGTCGCAAGCAGCGCGAGTGCGTGATTTCGCCCGTGTTGTGATCCCCTTCGTGAACGCACGTTCTTGTCGGAAGTCGGTTTCGCCAAGAGCAATACAATATGGCGCTACTTAGGGTGCCGCCTGTTGCCCGACAAGGTGCGGGTGATTTGGTCAGGCTGCGTGTCTGGGGCCCAGCAATTGTGCCAGGAGCCCTGCACGCCGGATGTCTGTCCCTATATTATTTAAGGCGCTATCAATATTAGGTTGCTTCCTGGCCTTGTTCACGCTGACTACGTGGCTGCAATGCGCCTGCTCCGGTCTGCTGTGCTCATGCTGCTCGTGCTGTGGGATCTGACTGTTTGTGCGGACGATGCTGCCGGCCCCTGATCGTCCTTATGAATGCCCTTGATACAAACGCACATGCTTGCGTACACACTCTCTCACACACACACACACACACACACACACACACACAAACACTCTCTCTCTCATGCGCAATGTACACCTGCACAACACAGGCGCCTTCCGTGCCACCAAGGTTCACCGCCAGACGGTGGCCATCGCGGCCTCCGCTGGCTGGCGAGGCGCTAGCAGCTTCGGCGCTTGCGGCGCCCCTTGCGGCTCTCACACTGGCAGCAGCACCTGCAGCGGTGTCAGCAGCCAATTGTGCCAGCTTGGCAGTGGTCTTGACGCCATCGATGCCGAGTGGGCCGCGCTTCGAAAACATGGCGTGGGGCTGGCTGGCCAGTACGGAGCCACCACCTGCCACCCATTGGCTGGTCCCTCGACGCTGTGGGACGAGGCCGCATCACCGGCGGCGGGCGCAACCGACGAGGTAGGGCCCGGGGCGGGGCGCCTGCGCGGGCCCCTTGACTGCCAACCGCCTGGCTGCGCTCCGCGTCGCGATGCTGCAGTCAAGCCTGCAGCCCACATGCGAGGCCTTGCCCGCCATGGCATGCCAACGCCCCCCCCCCCCTTACACACACACACACACACACACACAACCTTTCTCTCACTCTCTCTCTTCTCTCTCTCTCTCTGGCACATGCTGCCCATCCTTCCTCGTCCGGCTCAAAAGGTGTACGTGCTCATGTTCAGCGCCGCCGGCGCAGGGAGCGTACGTACGGCCAGCGCAGAAGGCACATATCCCTGCGCAGACGACATGCAGGGTGGCGCCGAGGGCGTGTACAGCGTTGTGGTGCCGAGCGAGGGCGAAGGGTCGCCTCGTGACACGATCCTGGCCTTTGAAAGTCGCGTCGACGCGGAGCGCTTCTGCGGTGGGTGCTTGGGAGGCCATGAGCACCGTTCGTGCCCACTTGGTCTTTGTGCATGAGTACCAGAGCTGGTGATGCGCGCTTGTGCGAACGAATGACTGTTGGTTTCAAGCTATCTCGTGGTCGCACTTACTCACACCCATGGACTTGTACACACCCACACATGCATGCCCAGCTCTGGTGGAGGCAGCCATGGATCTGCCCAGCCCCGTCGTCTGCCCTGTGGCCCCCCGCGACCTCGCCTTGTTCTGCTGCGAGCACGGCCATGATTGCTGTATTGAGCCAAGCGGCACGCAGCTTGTGCCGCCGAACGGGCCCTGGCTGCCCATGACCACATGGGAGCGAGCACTGCGGCTCAGGTGCGTGCCCGCACGGCTCTGCTAGGAGGCTCCTCTAGATGCAAGGGCTGAGTAGCAAAATGTGAGTGCGGCAACGTCCGCCTCCTGGGTCCGCCGCCCGCTTGACGCAGGAATGCTAGCAAGCCCCCTCTCCAGCCATGCTCAACCCTGCTTGCTGCAAACGTCGCTCCCCTCTCAGGCAAGGCACTGGGTTCCGTGTGCTCTCAGAGGAGCCCCAGGCGCACGCAGTGCCAGCCCGGCCCCCCTCGGGGCCGCCCGTGACGGCTGCGCCAGCACGTGCGAGCGTGCTCGCCATCCTGGACGCGATGCTGCCGCCACCTGGCGCAGGCCCCGCCGGGGCCGACAGGCTGCCATAAAGAACCTGCCCGTCACGACCCGCTGCACGACCCGGCGGGCCGCCTCACTCCTGAGACACAAGGGCAATCGCCCCATCCCCGCCCCCGACAACCCAGCTGATGTGGCCGGGGAGCGCGGCCTGTAGCGCAAGAGCGAGCGATTGATGTACTGAGAGATAGCGAATGAAGCGAGAGAGGCGTAAAGACGCAGCGCACACCCCGTGAGACGGACAACAGTCAACGCCGGGCCGCCATCCTAGTCCCCGCGTGTGTGTTGGTGGGGCAGGGGCCTGTGGCGCCACAGCTTCCGGCCCGCCGTTCCATTTGAGCTACTTTTCATTTTCCGGTGGACAGCCTTGCGGAGGGCTCTGGCGGCCTTGGTATCTTGGCCTGCATCTTACGGGCTCCCTTTGCTGGATGGCCTGATGCACGGCGCCCCTCGGAAGGGCATGCCGGCCTTGCAGCCGTCTGCGCGGCGCACTGGTGCTTCTCTTGGCTGCCCAGGGTACCAGCACCAACACCACACGCAACCAGGGCAACCCGCTGAGGCTGGCCTTCCGTGCGCGCCGGGTCCCACCCGGCTGCAGGGCCCTTGCCCTGTCCAGCTGCGGCTGGCTGGGGCCATGTGCAGCATGGGACGCTGTTTGCACTCCACGTGCCTAGCCTTGCACCCCACACGCGCTGGTATACGCGCGACTGCCTCGCACGACTGCACCCACAACCTTTGCACTGATTCACAATACATGTGCCGGCTGCACTGCTTCACCGTTGCGCCACCTCAAATCACTGCATCAACGGGCGGCCCAGTGCGAGCGCTCCAACACACCAATCACACCAACGGCAAGTGTACCTGAGCGGTCTCCAGGTTGGCCCCGCTTGCTTACCGTGGCAACTTGCTTTGTATGCAACATCAGGTTCACAGATTTCACCGCCATACGGCACTGTACAATGTGCGTGCACCTCTGTGCATGCGGATTAGTCACCAGCACGTGCAGCGCACCTGGCCAAGATGCACTTGTGTTGACAGCTTCTTGGCGCCTCTGTCTTGGTTTGCTTGTGCCCAGCGCAGCGCATCAGTGCGCGGACCGTCACCTGCCGCCTGTGAGCATGCCGTGAAGGACGCATGTGGCTGCAGTTTGATGGGTATGTTGTGCCGCTGTGGGGCTTGGTAGAGGCCAGCCCTGCCGCCAGGCAGATCCGAGGCTGGCTCGTGCGCCCACTTTGCCGCATCCTTGGTCGCAAATGCTTTCCCCTTATCCATAACTGCGATGGTCTGCGATCTTGGAAGCACACGAGCACGCCGGGTTGCAGCCGGCAGGTCATGTGGTGGCTTCGTGTGTCATGGAGCCACACATGTGTACATGTAGCATCAGGGGCCACAGCGCCCACGACTGAGGCGCGTGCTCCGTCCATCGCCTCCCCACCCCCCGAACCCCTCCTCTTTGCAACGACCCGCATGCTGGCCGGCTGCAGCGCCGGCCACGGGCACCATCACCATGGAATCAAGCCGCTTTCTGTCCCTGCAGCCGCGCGTGTGTGCGGCCGCCAGGCGCCTATGCTATCTTTCATGCCTGTCTGCGCCCGTCTCGTTAGTCACCTTCGCCAACCGCGTGTTGTAGCCAACTTCCTCGGCATCATTGGGCGTGTTGCGTGCATAGTCTGAGGGAAATCCTGAGGGGGTTCGAAGGCTGAGAGTAATATAACTCAAATACTCCTCAAGTATCCACATGCAAAATCTCGAGCCACCCTGCAGACGGGCTGCAGCTGAGGTGGCCACCAAAGGGGCCACCCATGCGTGTTGCACCCTTACTGACACCTTCGGGGACGTTTTGCTGGAGTCCAGCTGAGGGCGCATCGCTGGGGTGCTGAGAGCTCCACAAGTACAGGTCCTGCAGAAAACGCAAATGGTCAAAAATGGTAAGCAAAACCCAGGACACAGTTGACCAGCGCGCAAGCAAGACAATCATTACCAAGGTGAACTTGTAGAACTGCCGGTGCGTGCTTTTTTTCTATATCAAAAACGAGCTGCGGGAAAGCAATAGCGTGTCGTGATCTGAGCGAACGACCACCCTGGCCTCTCAGTACGCGGGTACCAGAGTTTTTGAGGCCACTGACGCATTTTCAGAGCTAAATACGAGATCTTTGAGCGGCCACCGGGGTGCTAAACTTCCTTTTCGATTGGGGCCGGTGTGCATTTTTGCATCGCACCCCGCCTGATTTAGACGTGGACGATGATGCACTTTTTGTAGGTACATCACAGCAGCCAACGATGGCGCCTGTCATCACCAACTCATCAATGCCGTTTGGGTGGCCACAGCGTCCTTAGCAGTGCTTGCCAGACACAAACAAAACCTAATTTCTTTCTGTGCAACACCCGGGGCAGCACGGATCCCTGGACTGCTGCGGCCCCTGCGCTGCGCGGCGCGCCGCTGCCTGATGCGCCGTGCCGCGGCGCTCGGCCACCCCGAGGCCGCTGACAGCGCCGCGGCCGGCAGGCATGTCGCCGCTGCCGATGCCACCGCCGCCGGACGCGCCGACGTGGCCGCGAGGACGACGCCTGCCGCGCCATCACCGCTGTCACTGCACCCTGTCACGCTCGCCTTTGGAGACGCCCGCCTAGATGCGGCGTACGCCCGGCACCAGGAGGAGTCCCTGATCGCAACGGACAAGTCCTCCCACGCGTTCCACATCGCGGTGTCTGTGCTGCACACAGGCTACGCCGCCTACAGCGCGACCGGCAGCCTCCTCTCGCCCGCCGCGGCGGCGCTGATGCTGCCCTACATCCTGATCGCGCTCGCGCACTGGCGCCTCAGCCGCACGGCCGCGTACGCGCGCCACCGGCTGGCGCTGCTGCTCGTGCTGGAGGCGGCGTACGCGGCGGTGTGCACGTATTCGATGCCGCGGTGGGTGCTGGTGCCGGCCACCAACTGGAAGCACTACGTCAGGGACTTCACCCTCGGCAGTGGCGTCCTCATATCCGCATGGTGGGTCGAGCGGCCAGCAGCACCTGGGACGGGCGCTGGGCGCGAGGTCGACGTGTGGGTGGGTGTGATCGGCAGCCAAGACACACCTCAGTGCGTGGCGCCACGCAAGCTTGCACCGCGGCGTGCCCCCGCTAGTTCGGCGCGCTGTGCAAATCGGAGTGAGTGTGCATGACGGATGATCCAATCACAGACGCGTCACACCGCACCCGTATGCACTTACATGTTCAATCACATCACACACATTTGCTTAAAACACACACACACACACACACACACTCCCTCTCTCTCTCTCTCGCTCTCGCCCTCACCCACAAGTGGAACCCACTCACTCCCCTTCTCGCCCGCGCGCCGCAACGCCCCACGCCGCCTCGTCCCCGCCGGCAGGGTCACCATATTCTGCCTCAAGCCCACGTTCTGGCTCCATTACATAACCATCCCGCTGGAGCACCTGCTGCAGGCCGCCGTGCTCACGCCCCCGGTATGCGACGCGCTGACCGCCACGCCCTACGGCGCCGCCGTCACCGCGCGCGCCGCCGCCGTGCTCGACGCGGCCGCGGCGGCCGGCGCGCTAGCCTCGCCGGCGTGCCCGCCGCGCGGCGGGCCCGGCGCTGCGCCCGGGGAGGCGAGGGACGTGTGTGTGCAGATGCTGTTGGCGTGGCAGGTGATGTGGTGCGCCAGCCTGGTCTACGGCAAGTTCCGCCTCGAGCGCGCCGCACGGCTCAAGTACGCGGCCTCGCAGGGCTGGGGCCCGATGAGGGACGCCTGGCCGCCCGCGCCGCCGCTGGTGCAGGTGCTCGTGCATCTGGCCGTGTACACGCACGTGCTGTCGGCGCTATGGGCGTGGCTCGGCTGCGCGCCGGGCGGGACGGGCGGCGCCGCCGTCGCGGTGCCGGCGCTGCCGACAGCGGCAGCGTGAGCGACGGGCGGGCGGGAGTCGGACGGTCACAGTCGATGCTCAGGAATTGTGATAGAGGAGGGGTTCCAAGGGCCGAGGGAATCAGCACTTGGAAACAAATGCACACTCTGCGTCTTGAGCACGCAGTTTCGCATGCGGGGGGCCCTCATGGCAGCTTCATGGCCGGGTGAGGCCCCGCGCGCGACACCGTCACCCGCCGTCACCCGAATCCGGCCGGGACGAACCGCAAAATCTACGCCTGCGGCTAGGGCGCCGGCGCCCTGGCCTGCACCACGCCGCGCACTGACAGGCGAGCACTGCGCGTCATTTCATTGGGGCCCCTCAGCGCAAATCCGGGAGGGGCCCCGCAGGCACAGCGTCACCACTCATCTTTGAGCGCCGGCCAGGGCGCGGCGAGCGGTCAGGCCTCTGTTGTTAGCGGCCGCCGCGCCGCGACGTGTACGCCATGTTGATAGGCTGCTCAAGCAATCCTGGCATGCAAACCAGGTCTCCTGTCTCTCTCAGGCTGCATGCGGCCGCCTCCCTCCAAATGTGCTGGGGCGCCCACCATGCATGCCATGCATGCCCCTCGCTTTTGTTCCTAGCCTCGATAACTGCGTTTGCGAGGACAACTCTTAAACAGCTGCCGTCCTTTCTTGCTCCCATTGGATCAAAGCGTTCCGCCAGCGCCGCCCACCTTAACGCGTGCGCGCCTGAGATCTGGTGCGGATGCGCTCTTCTGTGGGGCGGTCGCCTGTCGAGAGGCGCTCCTACCGTGTCATGCGCTCACAGACTTGAAGCGTGACTCTGGTATGCTGGAATACATCAGTCTACATGATCAAGTGCACATGTGTAATTGAAGGCGACTGTTTGCGTTCGAGGAGGGGCCATTATCAGGGCATGACGGCGCATGTGAGGAGGGGGTTTGAGATCAAGAGGGCAGGTGCGGCGGGTTTGGGAGGAGCTGCCGCAGGCCCGCTGCAGCCGGCTGCTCTCAAAGGCGTTCTGCCGCCTGATACGGTACCGCGCATTTATCTCATACTTTCATTATGTCGTTGTATTTCTTGCCCTAGTGCGGCTCGAAATGCCGCATAGGCGCCAGTCAGATGGGCCAGCGTTGATTGACCGCGAGGCCCAGGAGGCCGAGGTCATCAGAGTGGAGGTAGGGGTGTTGCCATCTGCTACAAGAGCCTGGAGGCGCAGTTCCAGCAATGCTGGGGGCGTGCTGACAAAGAAGCCAGAGCCGGCCGGAGCCCGGGCGCCCGTGCACATCCATGTATCTGCGGGAGACAGCAATGGATGGCCCGATCTTGTCGTGGCTGAGAGGCCTCCTCAAGAGCCGGAAACCAGGAAGCGCCGTTGGCTGCAGGTGCGGCGATGCGTGTGCAACTGAGCATGCAGTCGCATTTCTCACGTGTGTGTGCTATCCCGCAGTGCTGCCCTGCCGGTTGTATTGCTGCCGCGCTGCAGCTGCCGGCTCATGCACGCATGCAGCTGCCTAACACGGCGCCCCGGGGCCCCATACAGGCCAAGGCGTTCCTCCGGCGCGCGCTGCAACGCACCGTGATCCTGTTGGCGGCGGCGGGCATCGTCGCGGCGTCGGTGCTGCTGCCCGTGTCGCAGTCTCTCAAGGCAGAGGTGCCTGAGGAGCTCGTCCAGGTGCGCCGCGGCGCAGGGCAAGGGGCGTCCGCCGCGGGCGCGCCACCCAGGCCGCACGCGGCTGTCGTCGACGCGCGGCTGCCGTCGGCACGCAGGGCAGCCTCGAAGCCGCTGCGTCGCCTGCGCCGCCCGCGCTTAGCGGCCCGGGCCTGCGCCACGCCCGCATGGGACTGCCTCAGTGATCATGCAGCGCCTGCATGGCCCATGCATGGCACTGCCATGGCGCATGCAATAGTCAGCACTGTGCACTCCGCACCCTGCGGCAGCCCCATGCGTCCATCCTCCATCGGCCCCCACGCGCGTCCCCAGGTCCGCACCCCCCAGCCGTCCCTGCGCCTCATCGCCGGCTGGCCCAGCCCCGCAGTGGCGCTGCCGGCAGGCAGCGCAGCGGCGCTGCTGCCGTCGCAACTGCGGGGTGCGGTGCTGCAGGAGCAACGCGTGGCGGGGCTGCCAGGGATCACGCTTCTGGATTTCGGCAGCGAGACCGACCTGCAGGCTGCACTCGCGGCGCTCGCAAGTACCACAGGTGCGCTCGCGCTTCGCGCCAGCCGAAAGCTTGCCGGCGGCAGCAGGCGGCTGCCCCGTCGTGCGGAGCCCGCGCCCGCCTCGCCCGCATTTGGGGCAGCCGCTTGGGCGGCAGCTGCCACCCTTCCCCTGCTCCCTGATGATGGCCTACCCTTGCCCCTTGGATTTTGCAACTTCACCCCTCCCTCAGGTCTGCGTTACGTGCTGAGGGACTTCCCCCTGGCCCAGGACTACCATATCGACGAGGGCGGCGTTGTGACCCCGGACCAATTGTTTGATCGGGTGTGGGGCCCAAACACCGACGACGACGCCCTGCGGCGCTCGCGCCGGCGGCGCCGCCTGCGGCGGCGCCTCCTCCAGCGGTGGCAGGGCGTCGCCGCGGACAGGCGGCCGC